CTGCAAATGAATTTGAATAGATTTACTTATGATATGTTGCGACCAGAATACTTGTATTAGATTTAAGTAACTATTATCCTACTAGTATAAGATGAATAAGGACATGGTATCGATAGATTCAGTTGTTGGTTTTTTTACTATGCCTTTTTTCCAACAACCCGATATCATTTTTGTATTGTATAATGGACAAGGCTAGCTCGATCCATCTGAACGAGGTCCAAATAGTTTTCTTTCTTCAAACACATACTGTAAAGGGTCTGAGATGAGTTTATTGCTTTGTGTCCATGCAAAGACAACCAAACAATAAGTTTAGTTTCTAGAATGAATTATAAATTGTCAAGTAAATCTTGTTAGGTTTGAAACATATGTTGAAGGTTATTTATGGTTTCCGTCATAGATACAAAGGCGAGTTTCGAGATTTCTAAAATCACCCTAATGATGGAATAACATTACATGATTGGTCAGATATAATTTGGCGCTGAGCTTTCGCTCCCCTCATGTCACGTGATACACTCTGCATACAAAAGTAATGTTTGTCACAATTTTGTGGAAGTTCGTTTTTGAATTTTGTTCTGTTTAGTTGTGTCACGTGATATGCGGAACGCTGGTAAAGTAATCTGTTATTTGAAATATTCACTTTCATTATGAGTTGAAGAGTTATCAACTACTCGAGTTGATAACTCAATTATCATGGTTATTTACAATTAATATTCAATTATCACTAAGTCTTAACTAGTCTTTGGATGCCGATCAGTTTCATGTCATTTAGTTAGGTCCAGACCCTATATTCATTCACTTTCGTTCATTTATTATCCATCTGATAATAAAAATAGTTAATTCAGTTAGGAACCGAATAGTTTGATTTATGGACCTCCTTCCTATCCCTTTTCCCACATTTATTTGAGATTGAGAGTAAAGTTAACGTAATTCATTGTTTCATTGTTTCAAATAATAATTAAAGAGTGTCTCAAAGTAGAGTAATATACTTTGATTAAAGAGTATGTAAGCACAGATATTTTACTAGTGCGATGCATATTACACGTGGATGTGTCACAAGCTGGTAGCTGGGATACTTCAGATAAACAAGAAGTCTTGCGAAACACTTTGATGAACTTACAATATTTCTTAGTGAATTCGAATGTAATTTTGATTGCATAATTTTAACTGAAACGTGGAATCTGTATGATACGGGAATATTTAACTTGGAAGGATATGACATGATTTATTCGGGGGGTGACTTAAATAAGGCAGATGGTATCCTTGTCTACATCAGGAAAGAATTACATTTTAATCATAAGATCATCGTCCTTGGGGGCGTGCATGCAATTGAGTTGACTCTTGAAGTGAATGGAAAAACTTTCAAAATTGTATCCATATATAGATCACCTTCTACAGATGTTAATAATTTCAATCTTGACTTGAATAATTATTTAGAAACCTGTAATAATAATAAAGATATTAATATCATATTAGGTGATATAAATATAGATCTCCTGAAAGAGAGTGATGATAGGGAAGAATATTTGAACTGCATGCAGGAACATGGATATATTTCAATGATTAACGAGGCAACTCGTGAACAAGGTCAAAGCAGCAGCTGTCTTGATCATATTTTTGTAAAAACTAAGGAAATATATGAGGACTTCATTCCAATAGTGTTGAAATCATCCCTCTCGGACCATTATTCGGAAATTCTGCAATGTAAGCTTCAATCTGAAAAAGAAAAATCAAAATCAAATGTATGTCAAAAAACATATATAAATTATGAAGAACTGAAAGAAAGATTAGCCCAGGAAACATGGACGGAACTGTTCACATCCAACGACATAAATTGTATTACGGAAACGTTTATTAATAAATTAAAAAAACATATAGAACAAAATAGTAAAACGATCACTATCAGCAGAAAAAACCAAAAAAGGAATCCCTGGATAACTGATGGACTTGTGAAATCGGTCAATAAAAAAATGATATGTACAAAAAATTGCAAAAAAGCCCAGATAACTTAAACCTAAAAAATGAATTTAAAATATACAAGAACACTTTGGATGCCCTTATTGATAAAAGTAAGGCAGACTATTATAAAAGAGAGATAAATAAAAATAAGAATTGTCCGAAACACATGTGGAACTGTGTAAAAAAACTACAGAGGAAAGAATCAGTCAATAAGATTAAAGAAATACAGGTAGACAATGAAACACAAACTGACACATTCATTATAGCAGAATCATTCAATAATTATTTCATCAGTGTGGGTACAAACCTTGCTAATAAAATAACGAAAACAGATCAACAATTCCACACAAATATGATTCCAAATACACTATACTTGGGTCCAACAGATGAGGGCGAAATAAGAAAGGTTGTAAAAGAGCTAAAATCAAATAAGGCCCCAGGACTAGACGGAATCGGAGTAGAAACCATTAAGAAATGCATTGACCTCTTGATTTATCCTATTGAAAGAATAGTAAATTTGGTCTTAGAAACTGGAGTATTTCCAGAAATATTGAAAATTGCTGTAGTGAAACCTCTCTATAAGTCAGGAACTAAGAGTTCCCTTACAAATTACAGACCTATTTCAGTTCTTTCAAATATCAGCAAAATAATAGAAAAAATTATAAAAAAACGAATTATCAATTTTGTACAAAAGTACAAATTAATTTCTGAAAATCAATTTGGTTTTATGGAGGGTAAATCAACCCAAGATGCAATGGCCGATTTAATCAGAAAGATGTACGCAGCGGTAGACACTAAGGAACCGGCCATATGTGTTTTCATCGATTTGGCAAAAGCCTTCGATACCGTGAGCCATCCAAATTTGATGAAGTCTCTCGAAAATATTGGATTCAGAGGAAAATCAAGTGATTTAATAAGTAGCTATTTGAATAATCGGAAGCAATGCGTACAAATTGATAACACCCTGAGTAACAATAAAACTATACGATATGGAGTTCCACAGGGCACCGTTTTGGGACCTATTCTTTTCATACTTTATATCAATGAAATGTTTAACTTACCCATTCCTGGAGATATAACTGGTTTTGCTGATGACACGGTTGTTTTCTTCAAAGATCAAGACTGGATCACACTGAAAGAGAAAATTCAAAACGCACTGCCTGTTTTATTCAAGTTCTTCAGCAGTAAACTTCTGACAGTCAATGTTGGAAAAACAGTATACTTACCACTGACCAGTTATGAACCAAACTTACCCGATTTCGACCGAATTGAAGTTAGAATTGAAAACCAATCTATGCTTCTGATGGAAAACAGAACTGTTAAATATCTCGGCATTACAGTAGATAGTCATTTGAGGTGGGATGCTCACATCAGTAACCTGATAAATAAACTCCGTTTTTTTTTGAGTAAATTTAAATATTTAAAACGCTTTTTTGATATCCATCATCTTCGCATCATGTATTATACACTTGTCCAAACACACATCAATTATGGAATTATTGCATGGGGTGGAGTAAACAACAATTATCTGAAAAATCTTGAAACACTACAGAAATGGCTCATAAAAATCATACTCGGAAAAAAACGTGACTATTCAAGTAATGATCTTTATAGGGAATCAGGGTTTCTTGATATACGCCAAACTTTTTTACTCACTCTCTTAGTATACCAACGAAAATATATTTCATCAAGCAAACACGTGCGTCATATATACAACACCCGATATAAAAAAGAAGCTTTGGATGTACCTAAGATGACCAAAACTATTGGACAGAGATGTAATGTTTTTCTTGCTCCTAAGCTTTTCAATAAAATTCCAAGTGAAATTAAGAATCTCAATTCATTATCTCTATTCAAGCAACAAGCCAAGAAATGGATTAATATGAAACCAAGAAATGAGATACACTGTTTAATAGACCTCAAAAACGCAAATTGAAATGTATCCATGTTCTAAAGTCGTATCTACTTGTGAATCATTTAGTATTTAGTATATATATATATATGTGTGTGTGTGTATGTATATGTGCGTATTACTATGAGATTGTATTTTAATTATTATTATTATTAATTCTCAAATTTTTTCTGCATTTAGTATTTTAATATGTTGATTATGTGATTGTGTTTATTTACTAGACAAACTTTTTATATATTTTATTTATTTTACTGCTTTCTAATTTTTTATCAATATTTTATTTTAGTAACACATTATCCATTTTAAAATTGTAAAATAACCTTGGTGATCCACGCGCAGGTTAGCCTTTGTGGATCTTCTCTGTGTTTATTTACCTGCACTCTATTCAATTGAAAGTATATGTAACGTTTTTATGGTGAATAAATATTATTATTATTATTATTATTATTAAGTTGATTATGATATATTGTGAATGATTATGTGGCATTTCAATACGATTTATTCAAGAACCTACTTGCCGACCTGTCTCGCTCGGCAAGAAATACTTTTTGTTGTAACTTAGAATTATATTAAATGGGGTGGTTTTAAGACAGGTTGATAAATTAATGATCAAGATAGGTTAATTGCTTATCAGAGACCACCTCGTTTACAGTTCTGAATTATTGTTAATAAAAATGGAAAAAATCTTTACTTCCTTAAAACACTTGTATATTCTCTTAAATATTGGTTATCGACGTGAATCAAAAACCATTGTATTGTGTTGTAACATTCGCAAATGCTCAGAGCACCCAGTGCCCTCAAACGTACACTACTTTCAACTTTGGAACACACCTACACTCATATAAAGCAGGAATCGATACATTTGGTAGTGCAGACTAGTACTTTATATTACAGCTAGACCTAACTATTAGTTTCGCTATTCGCTCAGTGATGGCGCTAGTCGAACTCAGAGAAAAAATCAAGGAATTAGACAAAATTATCTTTTCAATTGTTTATTAAACTTCAAGAATACAAAGAATAATCATATAATTTACCTGAACATGTTTTGCAACAAATGTAGTGTGAATTTGAGGAAGTATCATCATAGTCTCAATTACAGGTTAGGAAATGAAATTCTCAATTTTCTTCCAAATTAGTATGTTTGAGGTGAATCTCTTGATCGATCTGTCAATTTCCATCTATTCCTGGTTGGAGATTTCAAACTGTCAGCCTGGTCTGTTATGAAGTACCTGAAATAAACAATTAGAAAATATCAATAATCAGCTGTTGTACTTACCAAATTCAAGGGGATAAAATCAGTATTTTTCTGTGTCCAGTCTCTGTTGTTAGTATCACCTGTATTCCAGGATTCAGAAAGCATCTTCCGTTTCGTTTTTCACTAGCACTAGATGTTATTTTCCGGAGTCTTTGTAACCTCAAATTCGACTTCTAAAATAATCTGAAATATATCCAAACGTTTAAAAAAAAAATGTAAACATATGTTAACAACAATGAAACCAACTGTTACCTCAAGTGTAACCACATGTTACCTAAAATGTTACCTCACTGTTACCTCAGATAAGTATTCAAAATTTGATCGGTTACTAAGCCACGGCTGTCTAGTGACAGGTGGGCATTTGCCGTTAGCTCTAGTGGAGATGGGGTGGTTCGTCGAAGATTTCCCAATACAAATAGTTGATGTTCAAGGGCGCCAGGTAAATTTACCCATCACAAATACCCACAAGGGTTCCTCCCCAAATTTACCAAATAAGAGTAAAACCAAATCAAGTACAAGAACAAGAATATATTCAATATGCAGAAAGTTGAATGTGAACAAACATCATCATCAAGTAGTACTCATTAGACAAAAAAAGAACAATAATAAAAAAAATAAAGGAAATGAAGGAAAATTTAGTATTTGCCCCTTATCCTTTCGGGAAGCACGCTAAACCTACATGCATAGCAATGGTTACATAAGTATTAGCACATTATTCATATTAATAAAAAAAAAAATAAAAAAAAATGGATAGCCGCTGGTTAACACAAATCAGTTAGCACAAAAAAAAATATTATCAACTCAGGAATTAAGCGGGATAAGAGAAATGGGAGAATGAGTCGGCGTCGCTTGAGCTCAGGCGCAGGCGCATAGAATTATACCCAACGGGGAAGTACCACACCACTACAGGGGCGTCATTTCAGAGTTTGTCAGGGGGGGGCAAGATGAGGTCAGGAGAAAAGTGCGCCGCAGGCGAAATTTTTTTTGCTTCAAGGTCAAATGGTTTCAAATCGAAAGTAAAGTTTCCCAACCAGTATGTGCAGATGCAGATTTTCATGCATTCTATGTGCAGAAAAAACTTTTCTTACTTATACAACGATGAATTTGAGGAGTTTTCATTCAATATAAATAGGTTTGGACACAACCAACTCAGGTAGATATAACAAAACAAAAAACCACATTATATGATATTATATTGAGCATTGAACTTAGAAATAACTCTCTGGTAACAAACGTAACAAAAACAAAAATAAATAAGAATTCTAAATCAAATAAATATGTCACAGAAATAAAGGTACATTGACGTTGTAATCACAAAGGAGTAGTAAATTCACAATTAGTTAATTCAACAAAGGATATCGTCGTTTTTTCATCCTGGCGAAATGATCAACAGCTTCGTCAAGATCGATATTTTTCACTTCATCCGATTCAACAGATATCACGAGTAAATCACTCAATCTATTGTCTGCAGTAGTACTCCGTAAATAACTTTTGATTATTTTCATTGAAGAAAAAAATCTTTCATTGGTAGCTGTTGTTACGGGTAAGGTAAGAACCAAATCTATTAATTTTAATGATTCACTAAAAGCTTCTGGTAATGCATTCAGTCGATCTCTAATGTCTATAATATTTTTGCATACATGCATATCCGATTCTAAAAATTGCTTGGCTGTAGTGAATTCGCTTGATAAACGGATTGAATCAATTTGATTGATTGATTGATTATAATGCTCTATAAGTGGCTTCGCAGAATCTATGTTCAGGAATTCATTATGAGAGCTGACATCAAATATAATTAAGGAATTCAGTATTTCATTGTGATCCAAGAACCTCCGATCTAATTCCGAAATAAACCTGTCTAGGACCATGAAGAATACATCAATTTTGATTTCAGGATTATCGTTCTTGCCTATAGTACTATCAACAAAATAATCGGTTAATCTGCTATTATATTTTCTCTGCCTGGAGTGCCTGGTACGTTGAATAGTCATTTCTTGATCGGAGTTCATTATCGTGGCGGTGTCCTTTATTGCATTCCATGAGGTATCATTCCTCATGTTCTCTAACATTTTTTTGGTACAATTGACCAATTTGAGTGCTGCTACTATATTGAGCTCTGTATTTTGAAGCTCACAAGACAAGGCATGAACTTTTTCTAGTATTGATTCCATAGTGCACAAAGTTAAAGTGAATTCTGTCCTGGAAATTTCTGCCAGTAAACCAGTAGCTTCAGCTCGTACCACTTTATCAACTGATTGGTCAGATAGGGCTGTCAATGTATCCTTGATTGACATATAGCGTACTTTAACCTTTTTCAGTGACTTATACCAATAAGACCAGCGAGTATCCACTAATCTCTCTAAATGAATAACAGATTCATTTCGTTGTTTCTGTGACTCAACGAACATTTCGTATCGAGTCTGACCATTCATTATAAAAGTATATAAATTTTGAACAATGTCAAAAAAATCGCTCACTGCCTTAATGTGTTTAACTGTGGCAATCAAACAAAGGTTCAACCTATGTGCATGGCAATGTACATAAATTGCGTTTGGAGCAACATCTCGTATTCTCTTCTGAACCCCTGACAATGCACCACTCATTACTGATGCTCCGTCATAGCTTTGAGCAATACACTTTTTCAAATCCAGTTTGTAGGTCATCATGATATTTATTATCTCTGAAGATAAACTTGCAGCATCAGATTTTTTCATATGATAACAACCCAAAGCTCTTTCCTGGACATTACCTAATTTATCCACGAACCGGAGAACAAATGACAACTGTTCCTTTTTTGAAATATCTTTCGATTCATCGACTAAAATAGAGAAAAACCCATGCGATGACATCTTGTCTAGAATAGATTGTCTTGTAAGAGCACCGACTGTAGCGATTAAGTCGTTTTGATATTCTGGGGAAGTGTAGTGACCATATCGTAGAGACAATTTTTCTTTCAACCTCTTATCTTCATCAGAGAAAATTTCTAGCAGCTCAATGAAATTTCCTTTATTCCTAGAATTTTCGCTTTCATCTTTCCCCCGAAAAGCTAGTCCTTGCCTCCCCAGGAAACAAGTTGCTTTAATCAACCATCGAACATGCCGGCGGTTATCTTCAACATCACAGGCGCGGTTCTCGTTCAACGTATTTGCTATGTTTTGGGAAGTTTTATTTTGAATTGCAGTGGCATTTGTCCAAAATGTCATAGAACTTATATGTTTCTGACTCACAGAATGTTGTTGAAGTATGGATTTGATATCTCTCCACTTACTCACACCATAGTCAACAAACGCTACTTTTCCGTAGGATTGTCCAGCAAATACAGTATTTCTACAGAAATGTCTACATGCATAGCAGTAAACAGAATCATCTTCAATGGAGTATTCAATCCATCTGAATATTTTGTAGTGCTCGGGATTGAATCTTCTGCCATTTTTTACTGGAAATTCGGAAATAATCGGTTGAGCCGGAGGGTGGTTGTGAGACCATGATAAGTTTGATGTTATCTTTAAATTATCATTGCTCGAAGTGCTCGAACTGGCAGACGCTGTAGATTGCAACTGCAATTTTAAATAAATAAATCTTAATACACTATTCGAAATCAGCAGTCAACTTACCCTGTTAGGATGACCAGCATTTGAACGAATATCGATGACACTTCCGGTTTCAATATTCGGTTGCTCGCTATCAGTCTCACAACGATCACTCAAAGTGACAGTTTTTTTGTTGCAATTCTTCAGCCAATTTTCCATCAGGCCTCTTGAGCCAGCCGATCTTTTCATTATATTGGAATCGAGTAGCTCAATAAGTTCAGAAATTGTCAAAAAGGGAATAATGCCCGTCCTACCTATTAGGATTTCAATTTGCGATTCGCGTCTCACGCGGTAACAAAAGCAAGATGATATTGGCACAAATAATCGAACGTGTTGTAACGGAGCTTCTAACCTTAACCCTCTACAGAGCCACTATACGAACGACGAACGACACATACTCCTACAGACTGTCAGACTCCAGACTGCCCCTTTCCATAACACCTACAATCAGGCGATCGGTTTGTTCGCGTTAGAAAAATGAACAGTTCGAGTTCGAAACCATCAGAAGCATGCGCAGTTCCACGGAACTTTAAGAATCAGTATAGTCAGTTATGTTTATAAATGGAACGCGAACAAGCCTAATGTAATGTAAAACCATAATTATGGAATCAAGGTATGTCCAGTGGATTGAGCGACAATTTTCGTATTTTTTCAATTTCTGCTACTTGTTGACTGGGGAGTTACAAGTCACTCTATATTCACCCTATATAATTATTTTGCTCTTCGCTCCAAGGTTCGTATTCACATAATTCAACGAAAAAGAGGCTAGGATCTCTGGCATCGAATTGTCGCTGTCTGAAACCAGGGGGGGGCAGTTGACCCCCCCTGCCCCCCCTAAATGACGCCCCTGCACCACTACGCTTAATTCAGGGTTTACAGAAAAAAAAAAATAGAGGGGAAGCAAGAGCATTGGCGAAGCAATAATTAAGCGGGTAAGCATAAAAAAAAATTTGCATGAACAAACAAATAAGCTTAGCGGGTTCAAAAACTTGCGTGAATCCTAGCGCGACGTTCTCCACAAAAGGTCAGCATACACCATCGTACTAGTATTCCATTTCTTAAAGTTGGAAGGATCCACCCTGTATAGTAACTAGGATGGTCCACCTTGAATACTAGTGGAGATGGTCCTCCCTGTATATTAATTGGGATGGTCCACCTTGTGCACTAGTTGAGATGTTCCTCTCTGTATGATGATTGGGATGGTACACCCTGTAGATAGTACTCCTGACCGACTCTTTCAAGGGGGAAAAAAACCCTGTGAGGAATAAATTATATCAAAATCTTCCCCAGAAACAATACGTGAATATGCAATCCCATCATCATTGAATAAAAATATCCCTATACAACAAGAAAATCTGAGAAGAGAAACTTCCCCAGAAATCCTCTAAATAATAAAAGTGGCAACCCTGTCTTATGAGGTCCCAGCAATGAAAATTGACTTTAAAAACAAACTGAAAACTAATATAAGTTCACCAATATTTTGTACCCCTGAAAAACCTTTTATTATCTGACCTAGAAAATCACAATAAATGTATTTGGAATTGTTACCACTTCACCCATTAGATACCATTTCTTAATAAATATGTTTGAATTTCCTGTCTACCAATGTTTATGACTTATCAAGAAATAAATGAAAGTATGAAATAATAATTACAAATACCACAACCTAACGAACTGAAATAGAATTTTACTCACCCTGGCCAAGGGGTTTCTTCTATGTTAGGTAATTATACCTATTATAGGACTTCCAGGTGATGTTATCACGCCCGCAAGCGACTATGGGCCTTATGGTATCTGTCGATAAGGAAAAAGAAATAGAACTCGAAGAATATCTATTACTTTCGAACTAGTTTTTCACACTGCTCATCAGAGTGGCATAAATAGCCTTTAACGATTGAAAGAGAATGATAGCACAAATTACATACCTGCAATAGTTTTCGATTGAAGGCGTGGCGTCGTACAAATCCTCAACACAGAGATGAATCTTGGGAAACCATCAAAATACCAACAACCACAGGCAACCAATTTTCCCAAAATAAATAAACTATCTCCAGAACAAATCCCAATGGCTGGATGATTAAAATAATCAAAATTTTCTGGAGATCGTTTCAGACGACCACTTAGACCTAATCGACCGTGCTGATCAAACTTGACCGCAGTGCTACCACCCCGTACTCAGGACGAGTACCCAATCTGTCGTTATCCCCGTTCTGATCCAGTGTGCCTACTCGCCGCTAGATGGACCTTTACGAAATTTAACTTGATATCTGAATATCAGTATGGATTTAGAGAGGGAAAATCAACAGATGACGCAATTTACCAATTAGTATCTAATATTTATAACTCACTGGATAAAAGTAAACCATCATTATGCATTTTCGTTGACCTCTCTAAAGCCTTCGATACCGTGTGCCACAGAAAATTACTCGACAAACTAGACCATTATGGGATAAGAGGAAATATATACGGAATATTAAAAAGCTTTTTGACAGAGCGTGAACAGAAAGTAAGTATTGATGGGGAGTTGAGTGATAGTAGATATGTAACATACGGTGTTCCACAAGGAACTGTACTTGGTCCACTGTTGTTTACTCTGTATATCAACAGTTTACTTTCTTTAGGAACCAGGGGCAAAATTTTGAGCTTTGCAGATGATACTGCTATATTCTATGAGGATGAGGCGAAATCATGGAACACCTTGAAAGCAGAAGTGGAGGATGATTTTAGAGTTATAGAAAAGTGGTTTCGATATAATACACTAACTCTCAACCTGGAAAAAACAAAATATCTACCGTTTTCCTCATACTCCAGTGAATTACCAAATATGGGTCCTTTGATTATCGGACCAAATTCAGAAATACCTGAAGCTGAATCGATTAAATATTTAGGTATTGTAATTGACCGACACCTCAAGTGGGACCTTAACATAAGAAATATAGTCAACAAGTTAAGAGGTATGTTATATTGATTTAAATATCTGAAAGATTACCTTGATACGAAACACCTAGAAATATTATACTACGCACTGGTTCAATCTCATCTAACTTACGGTATTGTGGGCTGGGGTGGTGTAAATGACACGCACTTAGAAAACTTAAACGTCATTCAGAGATGGATATTACGAATTATATACGGTAAACCACTCAGATTCTCCAATGATAAATTACACGAAGAATCGGGAATATTTGACAGTAGGCAACTTTTCTGTCAAAATATACTAATCAACATAAAAAAAAAACAAGATCTCTTCCCACCCTGTTACACACTCCTACAGCACAAGAAATAAAACAATATCGTTAAGCGTACCTCGTTGTGACAAAACCATAGGGCAACGTCACTGTGACTTTCTTGCACCAAAACTTTATAGTCTAACACCTGTTGATATAAGGAACTTACAGAGCATCAATTTATTCAAGAAAAAAATAAGAAAATGGATTTTGGCTTTTGGAAGGAGCAAACTACACGATTTTGTCAATCAAAAACTAAATTAATATATGGTTAGGTATTTTATACTCTTCAATCAAAACAATGAATGGTCTACTTATTATTTCTATTAGTGATATAATTTATACTCATGTTCTCTCGTGTTAATTGTATAAGTCTGAACACATCTATATATGTACGTATGCGAATATCTCTCAATTAGTTACTCGAATTTTTATATTCTGATACTTTTATATTTTATATTTGTACATTTTAGATTTTTAAACTTTTCCCTTTTAGCACTTTACATTTTACATTTTACATTTTACATTTTTATAATTTTACATTTTACATTTTTACATTTTTACATTTTACATTTTTAAATTTTCATATCTTCACATTTTATATCTATATATTTTATATTTTCAAATTATTTCATAACGAATCATCTTCAACTAGTTATGTAATGATCACCTACTAAAATTGATGGAACATACAACAACATGAAGCCACGTACAAGCGATAGTTACTTTGGAACTAAAGCTTCTGTGGTATCCCCTGTTTATTTGCTGTACGCACTTTAATCATATATACCCTTTTTTTGTAATTATTTTCTTGGTGAATAAACTTTATTTTTATATTATTATAATAACTATTACCTAAATATATACATACAATACAACCAGAATCATAGGCACCTAATAACCCTATTCACCCTGGCCTATGAAATCTCAGTATAATCTAAAAACTAAGCCTGATTATTCATGAAATTCCACCTGCTACTTTAGGAATTTCAGGAACTAACTTTGGCAACACCGCACGCTCTGTAAACGAATCGAACAATTGGTACTACTGGTAGACATGTTTGACATATCATTATTAATTGACAGACTGACACAAAGTTGACAATAACCTAAATATTAGACTTATTAGAGAGACAATATAATAAACTGAAATGAGATCCAGGAAATGTAGAGGAAAACATAAAAATATCGCAGCATCAGGTAAGTTAAACTGGCATAAATTCACGTCCTATAATCAATTCTACTGACACTCATCACCTATTTAAAATACACCTACCGAACCTTCTGATCTATAGAAACATCCTTATAGAAACAAAACAACCAACTATACCATTAACCTTTCCAGGCCGTCGATGTATTATTTACAATAATCAGAGGAACCAGGAACACCTATCGATAACCTCCAGGGACCCCCGAATCATTAGTCATAATAATATACTGATATAGGTACGTAGGAAAAATCCATAGGTGATACGATATGATAAACAAATCTGCGTTACTGAAATTCTAACTCGAATGTTTTTAATTTCAGGCAGCGACAGCGAGGACTGGTTTCGGTGTGACTCGATAGAGTGAATGTAGGGTACAGTACCGCACTCAAGAAATGTGCTTGTCCTTATGAGTTGATTGAATACCTAATAAAAATAAGTTGGTGTGGTTTTTTACTTTTCTCTATAAAGTGTGCCATTGGTGATAACTGTTGAGAGTTGCTCTAAATGAAAAATTCAACGTTACATCTTTCCAAATCCTAGGAAAATGAGTGGAAAGAATGTGATTCATAGATGGCACGACCATCGCGTTGACAGCGATGTCTGTAAACAGCTTCCTCGCAGGTTTCGGGGTGAAGGGGGAAAGCTTCGATTGATTTCGATGGAGTTCGATTGGCTTCTATAGGCTTCCAGGAGCTTGTGGTGAAACTACACAAGGCTTCGAACCGATATTTTCGGGATTAGTGCCTGTTTT